CTTGTGGGGCCAGCCAATGCACAAGTCAGTGTTTTCCTCCTTCTGGATGAGCCTGGTATCATTCACCGATCCTAGGTGGAAGGAGGACCTTGTCGGCACAAGTGAAGCACATCAGAGATTTGACCCCGGGCTTTGGACCTGGAGAGCGGGCCAGCTACTCAGGTGAAAACATGAGAGAGAGAAACCAAGTTGTGGCGCAGTGTGGCTTTGTGTTGGCACCAGAGGTAGCAAGGTTCGTACAGACCGCCTTGTGAAGACCTGTAAATCTTGGTACCAGAGTGGTTCACTTGTACAGTGCACTTGAGTGCAGCTTCACACGAATTTACAGATCTCACCAAAATGAACCCTGTTAATTAATATGATCTAGCAAAAGGAATAGCGAAAGTATTTACGTGCCCTCCCCAAGCCAAACAGCTGCAGGTTGTTTCCACATTTGGCCAGTTTCGAGGGAGCATTTCAGAGAGAAGCATCTGAATGTATCCCTGATCCTAGCAATTCTGTGTGGGACCAGCATATTCCATGTCAATCACTTTATCCTACCAGGTTAAATTGGTGACCCTAAGGTCAAGGAACCGTTGAGTGACCTGGACATAATATGAGCAGAGAATGGGTCCACAGAACGCCGAAGCGTAGCGGACCCATTTATCACTGCCCCACCACCACCCAACAAACATCATAAAACTCTGTGGCTCTAAAAACAGCCGCTCGAAATAAGGGGCAGACTTCATTTTTCTTCTACTTGTGCTTCAAGTTCATTTTGTAAGATACGTCAGAGATTCGAAAATTCGTGGTCTGTTTCGAGAAAAAAAATCACAGTATTACTCTTGCTCTTAATTACTGTTTTTCATTGGAAGTTGTATTATACGACGCCATTCCAGTCATACGGAGGTTTCCTCAGCACACATATCGCCATACGTGATCAGGGTAAAACGTTCCAATGTGCGGTCGCCGTAGCTCCAGTGGCAGACTTCATGCTTTACGGTGAGCTATATCCTTTCAACACTCAGAAATTATAGTTGATCCCCCCTTGCAAAGCTGGGGTAAGTGCGCAAAGGTGCGACGATTGCGATTGGTGGGTAGTGTGTGATAGCCAATAAAAAGCAGCGGTTGAACCCGTTACGTTCTTCCTATCCAAGGCATAAGTATTTGTACCAGCGCATTCCAATACATTACACGTTTCAGGTTGGTGCAGTGGGTTTGGCGTCAGGCAGCATCAGCGACTAGGCAAGTCAGATATCAGTCTAGCGTCTGCTAGCGTCTGCCAGCGTCTACCAGCGTTCAGACCGGAAGTAGAGAGTATGGGGAAGTAGGAGGGTAGCAAACAGCTGGATTAGGCGTCGTGAAATTGCGGCGTGTGCAACTGCACCGCACAACTGCTAAAGCACAGAATTATGCAATTTAATGTACGGTGTAGTGTAGTTGTACGGTGCGGTTGCACACGCCGAAATTTCACGACGCCTAATCCAGCTGTTTGCTAGCCTCCTACTTCCCCATACTCTCTACTGGGTTTGGCTCTCATCAGCCTATTCTGGACCAATTGTAGAAGCTGGCAGGCAACCAACCTCAGTTGGTGGAGAACAGCCTGGCGCCGCGCCAAACCCAACCCTCCGGGGACGTCCCAACGTCCGCAGCAAACATGACTGTACACCCACAAAAAAAACTGGCCTTGGATATTGAGAGTGGCATCAATCACCACGGAAAGTCGCATTTGAACTGCACTTGTCGCGTCGTCTCCACGAATGTGCCCTATACTCCTCAAAACCGGGAAAATATTGTGACAACAACCTTAGATCAACCCTACATGCAAGTCTGCAATGGGTTTGGTAGGGGATGTCGTGGCTCCAAGCTCGCGCCAACGTTAAAAGTGAGTGCTCACTTAGTAATCGAGGTGGCAAATAACCCTAGTATTCATGCTTGTAATTATTTCGATACATGGTGGAAGACTATCGCCGGCGCCAAGAATGAACGCCTACTCATAATTGACTGTCATATAACCACGGCTTATAGATATCTATGAGTTTTGGTGAAAAAGGCGGTGGCGCCGCATGTAGCTCGCAGCAAAAGTGAGGCTACTTTGTGGCAGCGTCCACCAACGTCTACCAGCGTCCAGCAGTGACAACTAGTGTTCCTGAGCGTCAGGCAGCGTCAGCGACTAGGAAAGTCAGATATCGATCTAGCGTCTGCTAGCGTCTGTCCAGCGTCTACCAGCGTCTGCCAGCGTCCACCAGCATTCAGACCGGGAGTAGAGAGTATGGGAAAGTAGGAGGGTAGCAAACAGCTAGATTAGGCGTCGTGAAATTGCGGCATGTGCAACTGCACAGCACAACTGCCAAAGCACAGAATTATGTAATTTTATGTACGGTTAGTGTAGTTGTACGCTGCGGTTGCACACGCCGCAATTTCACGACGCCTAATCCAGCTGTTTGCTACCCTCCTACTTCCCCATACTCTCTACTCCCGGTCGCTGGTGAACGCTGGTAGACTGGCAGACGCTAGATCGATACCTATACTTCCCTATCTCCTGAGACGCTG